AAGATTTAGGTGGCTCCTAATTGAGAAAAATAAATCATTAGCAAATTGGTTACATGTGCAGGTAATTAATAATCATTCTGCTGATTAAGAGGTTTTCAGCAAGTAATCTTGAGATCAGGTGCCTCAAGTATAGAATGCACAGTATTAAATATAGCTATTACAATATATTAATACTAGAGATGGGCAGGAACTGTATTTTCCATTTTGTGGGAAGTTCCAGGATTATGATTTGTTTCTTGTTTCGAAAGAGAACAAAACCACCACCAAAAAAAAAAAAAAAATGAAATTTCCTGCTAAATAGAATTCTGAGGGGAAAAATTGTTTTGGGTCAATTAAAACATTTCTTTTTGATAAAAGTGAAATGTTCTGTTCCAATTTCAACTTTTTTTAATGCATATTATTTTATAATATATATATTTAATTGAAACAATAACTTTTTTTGAAACAGGAAATGTAAATGTTCCATTTTGACCTTATCGGAATCCTTTGTTCCATTTTTTTCTACATGAAATTCAGCTGAAATCAACACATTTTAAAAAAAACTCTTCAAATTGGCAATTTTTGATGGGAAAATGTTTTGTTGGAAATTTTCCATTCAGCTCTAGTTAAAACCAACAGTTATTCAACAATTTGTAAATCAAAAACACAATGTTCTTTCTTATATTTCTCCTCTCTCAGCTAAACAATTCACATCTTTATAATCTGTGTTCATATGGAAATCTTTCCATGCCTCCAAGCACATTTGTTAGCCGTATCTGAACCTCCTCCATTTCAGCTATATCCTTTACAAGATAGGATGATCAGAAATGTACATGGTATTCTAAGTAAAAGGGTACAATTTACTTATATAACAGCATTATAATATTTATATTTTTCTATCCTACTCTTCAACTATCCTAACATTTTGTCTGCAACACACTGAGCACATGTTTTCATTGAAGTGTTTATAATGACTGTGAGGTGTTTTTCCAGAGCGGTTACAGTTAATTTAGAACCAAGACACATAAGCTTCCTCAGGATTGAGCACAGAGATCATCCTTCTCACACTAAAAAATCTTCCTTCAGCATGACCTCTGAAGTCTGTACTCATCTTTGTCTAGCATCCTCTCATCCATGTCTACTCTCAGCCAGGCACTAGCAAAACATAGAACTCATTATTCAAGTCTGATTTAAATTAAACATGGATTAAAACATTAGAAGTAGCACCATTTTTCCCTGTCCATCTCCCAACTCTCTGCCAATATCAGAGGTGTTGGGTCAGGCCACATATTCAATCAATGCTTACTAAAACCCTGCTAGCTGCATGTGATAACCCTTGGTTTCCCCAACAAACACCCATTCTGGTACCTGATTTCCTCAGTTGCCCCCAGCCCCACTGTTTCCCCTACCACATCCTAGCTCTTCCCCACAATCAATCTGTGACCTATTCTCCATCACCTGGCTGTATTCATAATCCCCAACTAGAAGTTCAACATTTTCCACTACCCTTTCACCCCAACAGATATGTGGTACTTTTCTGGGATTTCAAGCCTCATTCATATGTTCTATCCAAGCTGAAGTTTACTCCTCTGGCCCAGGTGCACATGTTTTTTTACCAGAAGATCATTTTCCCATACATATGTAATAATATATCAGTAGAGCATAGCTATATATACTTAGTATTATTTAAGAGTCTAAACAAACAGCCCTAATATACGCAGCTTTTTCTACTGCAATCAAGTCACTTACTATTAAGTCATCCTCAGCAGGGAGTGTAAGGCCTGGTCTACACTAGGACTTTAATTCGGATTTAGCTGCCTTAATCCGAATTAACCCTTCACCCGTCCACACTACAGAGCCAGTTAATTCGAATTAAAGGGCCCTTTAAATCGATTTCTGTACTCCACCTCGACGAACGGAGTAGAGCCTAAATCGATTTTGTTAATTCGAATTAGGGTTAGTGTGGACGCACACCACCGAATTACTGTGTTTAAGTTAATGGGGTAGTGTGGCCGCACACCACCGAATTAATGTGGTTTAAAACCGAATTAAGGTGCTTAGTGTGGCCGCGCACAATCGAATTTATACAACCTGTTTCCCAAATTCGAATTATCTAAATTCGGATTAATCCTGTAGTGTAGACATACCCTAAGAGGCATAGTAGATGTCTGGATTTGTTCAACTAGTTAAACTAATCCTGCAAAGACCAGCTATTTTCCTTTAAATTCATCCAGATCATCCTTACTACAAATGTTTTGAAGACAAATCTGGTGTTTACAAAGGAAGTACTTTGCTGCAAGTTCCATGCAGGAATGTCTGTGAAACCTAAAGATAAGAGGTTTGTAAATTCCTCTAACATAGAACAGAGATACTTTAGTTAGGTACATCTCAAGCATTTACTTAGCTCCAAGTCCAGTACATCCTGTCAAGGATTTGTGTTGTTATATTGTTATTTTAGCACAAAGGATTGTTTTCTTAAAATAATTAAGTATAAATTATTTCAATACTTGTGATCCAATAATATCCCCCAAAGCCTAACCTATATTTTAAAGGCAATTTAAATGATACACTGTTCAGTATGTGAGAGAGATATAAATTTATACACATACCCATACTAACAGTGTCAATGATTGGGTAGAATATACTTTATTAGACACATCTTTATTGTATTTTGGGTATGCACACACTTCCAAGCTGATATTTTTCAATAATAAAAAAATAAAAACTATTTTTATATTTAAGTGGATCAAAATATTATTTATTACTTTTTAATTACTACAACCCCCCCCACCCCCAATCATTGCTTTTGTGCTTATGAAAGCACTGGGTACATTATTTAATCAACAAAAGTTCATGACAGACAGTGCATACAACTGGGTATTTGTTACTGAAGTGAAGTAATGAGACAGCAAAGCAAAGAAAGTGGTCTTGATTGTGCTCAGCCAAGTTAAAACTAAAATCCTTATACAGTTAAATAGGGTTTACCTACTTGCAAAGGCTTTGGAATTAGGAAATGTGAATTGCGGAATCCAATCCCAACTTTTGCCAACACTTCCATTTTTCCAAGTATAACTGTGAAGATGCTGAAACCAAACGTATAACTATGTAAGGTCAGATGCACAGCTGGTGTAAATAGGTATTACTCCATCATTGTAGCTCAGGATCTAACTCAGATAGTCCTTTTGTTGTTACTGTAAATTTCAAATAAAATGAATATAATTACATGAGAGAGAGAAAGCTAGGCCAGCACTATAGACCAAAGAGGAATGTCTTGTTAATGCATCACAACCACATCTCTGCCTCGCATCAACAGAATAAGGCAGAGTTGAACGACTCTCTGTTCCGTATAAATGTGTAATCTTGGCTCCATTGACAATGGAAAAACTACCATTGCCTTCAGTGGGGCAAGGATTTCACAAATGGTGTTGTATAGATATAACCAATATATTTTATTAATGTAGCACATTCAGCTATTCTTCCTTATGATATGAAAATATGGCAAATGATGGTTGCTGTATCCATCACACCTGAACTAAACTACTGTGTTGCAAATGGAAAACTTTGTCTTTATTCGGTTATGCAGTGCATGACTAGAACTTCCAGGATTGTAGCTTTTTAGCTATTTTTTCTGATACACCATCTTCCAGTCCCAGTGTTCAGTTACATCAGTTTAGACTCCATTACATTCAGTAGGCCAAATCCTGAAATGGTATGTAAAGTAGTGTAAATTACATATCAGTAAGTGGTGTGAGTTTAAGTAAATCCAAGTTGATTTTACATTCAAGCTGAGGAGGCCAGATGAGGTTATTAGGTTACACCAACTTAAACTCACTTAAACTCTCCACTAAATTCAGCCCAAGATATTTAATTTTCTGACTTCCCTCTTCCATATTTCATTCTGTTTGCACCAGTGCCCCCAAAAAAACAGCCCCTGAAAGCAGAAGAATCACAGCTCAGCCAGAAAACACAAAGTAACCTCAGAGGCTGTGTTGTATCCCTTTTCATCTTTTCAATACAGACAGCCTGGAGATGTATTGATTCTTCTTTGTTAAATTAACACAGAATAGCGTCAAGTTGAAGAGACTTTTAACACCAAAAATAGCTGAGAAGCAAACCGTAGTTAAACTAAATGTCCTTTTTGTAACAAATTCATATTATGATACAGTACTGAAGATCTTGTTTCACTAATGACCCAAAATAACTGTCCAACATACATGGTCAAAGGATCAATTGGACTTATTTTTAGGTGTTTCCTAATGTCTTCCTATCTTTTTTTCCACTCAGCTTCTTAGTACTACACTTTTGGGAAAAGCTGGGTGGCACTGGGATTTACCAGAATTAAAATCAATGTAATAGCCTCTAATAATAGCTTCCCTTAAAAATGGAAGTCACTATTCTCTAAAAGGTTGATATTTTAATCAAGTGTAAATCAGATGCTATGGGTCGGCAGGAGCTTTGGGAGCTGTTGGAATAACTTCCTGTGTTACAACTTCCTTTCCATTTAGTTTTAGGTGTTGTAGAATATTAATATGTAAGTTTAACTGTATAATTATCTATCTGTTTGAATTTATCTACCTATTTGAAATCTGTTAGTAGGTTGTCTCTTACATCCTCCCTAGGACGACCAATGAGGTAGCATGACAAAATACATGACAAGTTCACACATGGCAATACTTTAAACAATTGGGCTAAGATTGAAGGCATTCTCAAAACTTGATTCCTTACTCCCTTCCCACCCCTTTGCAGTCACATAATAATCAAACACAATCTGATCCTGTATTCCTTTTCCTCTACAGTGTTTAGTGTGCATGCTGAGTTACAACAAATAAAAAAATATATACCTCTGATTTCAAGTGCTTACAGTCAAAGGGCCTGATTCTGATCTTCACTTATCAAGTCCCAGCTGAATCAGGCAGAGCAGAAACTTGAACCTGATTTCCAACTTCCAGGTGAGCACCCTAATCACTGGGCTATTGGTTCTTCGGGGTAGTTAGTCAGTCACACACTCTCTCTTTCTCATGCTCTCTTCCCCATGCCCTGCCCCTGGACAAGAAGAATTTTTGAAATCCTTAAAACTTTCATGGGACGCAAAAACCATTTCTCACCTAGCTCAGCATTAGGCACCAAATAAGTCCTTTAAAAAATAAGGGCTCAACAATCACTCAACCAATGGGGTCTGCAATCCTGGAGGTGATTATGGACCACTGGATACTTTATATTAGGTGTAACCTGATTATGTTTCTGTTTGTTACACTGTGAGCACTTCCATTGATCAGTACTTTTATTAATTATAAATAATCCAAACTGGAAAGAGGCACACATTTCTAAGTGTAAAGTAAATTCACACAGTTTCTATCCTCCCACAACAATCATATAGGAAAACAACAGGTGGTAAATAACACACATCTTACCTACAAATAATGCTGCAAAGAGCCATGCATGTGCTTAACTTTATACACAGTCCCACTGATTTGAAGTCTTTGGAAGATGGACCAAAAGTTCTGAAATGAGATGAGCCATTTTTATGGAGGATAAGATTTCTGTCCCATAAGTAACTTTTACCAATATCTTGATGTATTGGTTTCCTTCATTTCTATCCACACTCTGAAGTCTTTCAGATTTATCTTACTATTTATTATATAGGTCTCTCCGTCCCCATCCTGCTACATGTTATCACCATAGGAAACTAGCTATCAAGTTTGTGGCCAAATCCAGCACAAAGTATCTGGTCTTTTGGGCCATGAAAGCCCTGAACTGTTACAGATTCTGGCTTTGAGCTATGCTATCTTGGAAGCCAATCAACCCAACCACAAAATAATCCTCCAAATGCAATGGAAGCAAGTTGTAGAGCTGGCTAGGTGTTGGAAACGTTCTACTTATCTCACACATTATACAGGACTTGATTCCCATGACACCATAGCTTTCAGAAATCAATCCAGCTTTATTATGCCATTCTGCACAGGTATGGCATAAGGGCTGAGTTTATTTTTAAATACACCTGAGAAGAGAGGTGACCTGTCAGCCAGGGAAGAAACATTCCAATGTTAGGATGTTAGAAAATTCATTATGCATAGTCAGTGGAATCCTCTGACATCTTTCCCAAGAGCCCAGTCCCCTATAGGGGAGATGTCAGAGTTTCTGCCCTAGAGAAAGGAGTAGGGCAGAATACCTGATTTAACATTAAGTAATTACCAGAGGTAAAAGATTTCCTCGTTCAAACAGGAAGCAGCCTTTATTGCTGAATGGACTCTTTGCTCTAAAAATTGATAAATTGTGGCAGAAATAAAGTCTTTAAAGAAAGCTTGCCAACCAGATAAGATTTTAAACCCTTATAGTTCTAGTTTAAATGATTTATTTCATATTTGTTCCTAGAATTCATTGCTTCATTCATCATATGTATGCCAATGTATACAGTCAGCTGAAAAGGAAATATTATGAGCATTAGGTAGGTCTCCTACTGAAAAACATATTAAGCACAATGTGACTGCCTCCTTCTGTCATCTGCTGGAGTTGTAGGCAGAAAAAATTATTGGCAAATCTGAAAAACAGTTTCTTTCTCTGATGGTTATTTTAAAATGATAAACAGAAATTTGGGATTGCCAGTCCCTCCAACCATAGGATATGTCTTTAAATATTTTGCAAGTGTTTATCTAGAACAAAACAAACAAGAACCATCTCTTTTCCAAGGAAAATACCACATACTGTCAAACAATGCACTTCACATACCTGCATTTGTTTAAGTGCACATTGCCTCAGGGCAAGACAGGGGTGGGATACTTAGAAGAACTCATTTCCTGGGCATCCTCAGTCATCAGGGCTCTGTGGAGACTAACTCGAGATTAAATTGCCCTCTTGCGCCAGAGAACTGTAGCAGTAGCATTGACTATTGTCTTCTGAGATGATGCAGTTGATCCTACAAGAGCAGGAAAATGATTTTTCAATATTCTGGGAGAGATTTTTAAAGGTAATTCGGTGCCTAACTCCCTTAGGCACATATCTTTAAAATGTTGCCCTTTCTGGTATTCGGTAATATCAGGCAACATTTGATTGTCTGGTTCTGCTCCTCCCTCCCTCCTCCCCCTCCCCCCCACACACTCCACCACATATGTGCACACACTGACTCTGGACTGTGGAATGGTCAGTGTAGAGGGAGGGCCCTTTATTATTAAACATTTGTATTACAGTAGCATGAAGAGGCTCCAAATGAGATCAGGGCCTCATTGTACTAAATAGAAGAACAGGAGTACTTGTGGCACCTTAGAGACTAACAAATTTATTAGAGCATAAGCTTTCGTGGGCTACAACCCACTTCTTCGGATGCTAAATTGTACTAAATGTTGTACAGTCATACAATAAAGACATTCCCTATCCCCAAAAGCTTTAGTAGACAAGATTGACAGAGGGTGGGAGAGGAAACAGAGAGGTGTCACAGCAGGACATATGGGGAAATAGCACCTGCTCTCCCCCCTAAATCTGGAATAAAAAATCTGAGTAAACCTAAACATGAAAGCAACAGGGTAGAGGTATTACACTCTCTTGTTCTCATTAGCCACCAAGTCAGGGCTGTGACAATTTACCCCATGGAGAATGAGATTCTAGCAATTCTGAGGAAGTTTCTGCTAAAAAGGAAATTAATATTCCAAAGAAATTGCAAGGTTGCAGAGACCACTTTCAGGAAGTGTCATATTGACATTTTATAAGAAAAAAAGATATGTACTGCAAAGGAAAAGTTAATATGTACAATGCCAAATTTGTACTACAGTGGAATACAAATATTTGCCAAAGGTGGTGGGTAAGAAGTAGGCAAGTTACAGTGGGAGCAACTTGTAGGCAGTCTCTGTTATCAAAAAAAAAAAAAAAAAACCAACCCAAACCCCAAAACACTTCCTGAATGACAGCATTACAACATTGGAAGTTCAAATAAGCAGCTTATTTGGAACCAGAGACTATTTAATCTTAATGCATGTTCTTTAATATTCAACAAAGCTGGTACACTTTTGCAAAGCATTACAGAGTATCTCACAGACAGTATGTGAATACTTAATAAGTTCTCTGTATACTGTTTGCTATAGATCATGTGACACTTAGCAAAGCTCTGCCGGTTACTTAAAACCCAGCCAAAAAGAAAAAAAGAGAGGGGAAAAAAACTTTACATAGATTTGAAATTAGAATGACATGTCAATGCCAGTTGAAGACTCTACAAACAGCTGGAGGATATTGACATTGTAAAATCATGTTCATTATAAATGAACAGTTTGAAAACATCAGCAGAAAGCACTTGCAAAGATTGCCAGTATATCCATATGCCTCCAAAGAATTTCCACACAATTATTGCAGTTGCATTACAAAGACTGTGAAAATCACAAACATTTGTAACCAGTCCACTAGCTAAAGATGTCTTTTTGCAAATGGATTGGAGAGGGTGAGTCATTTCAGGAATTATTTTCAGAGCACTTTCACAAAATCACTGGATATGGTAGACTAAGCAATGGGTTGTTACAGAGATCCCTTACCAACTTTCCAGTCATTAACATTTCAATCATGTTAAAATATCCTACTCTGGCTGCAAATGGAATTATCCAAATATTGGGATTGTATGTCGGGCCACACTTTATAACTTTTAAAAAACTGTGCTACCATTCTGGTCACAGCTTATTTTTGGAGATTATTAAGAGGGTTCAAAATGTATTTGAACCTGAGTTACTAGAACCAGCTCAATCACCACTAGGTTCTAATCCCAACAAGCCTCTCTGCCTTTACAGCCCAATGGAAAGTTACTCCTGGGATGCCTGGTCCCAACAACCTGTCACTGATCTATGTGGGATCTTTTTTCCACCACCTGTGGTGTCCTTTAAAAAGTTCCTGTACCTTAGGGAGAGCCCCTGAACCAGCCAGCTGTAGTTAAAAGGGATGTAATTTGAGTCCCCTCCATTTCTTACCCCAGCCCAGCCAGAAGTTTCTTCAGGCACCTGTAGTCCTGGCAACCTGCCCCCTCCTCCCCCACTCCAGCATTCTCTTGGAAACCCTTCCATCAATTCTAGTCACTCCAGGACTCATGAACAAACATCCACTGACCCTTTACTGACACATGCTTTACTTCACATTTATACTGCCACCCTTTGCTTTCCCTATCTCACTAGGAGACTTGCTTTTGTCATGTTAATTCTTATTTTTACATACACCCTTTTCTCGTATTCCTCCTATTTGTCTACTTCCCAGCACTCTTAACCAATTCCCTATCCACCCCCACCCCTAAATCATTGCCACTTTCACCACCTCGGTTCAATACATCACCCTCCAGGAAAAAAGTAATAAGTTAATCATTTATAAACACTGACTGAGGGGGTGCTTTTTTATTATGAAAATATATTGAGGGGAACATCTCACTACCATAATCCTTCCCTTCCCTTCCGCCAGCCTCCCTATAATTGTGTCATGCATAAATTTAGATTGTAAGCTCTTTGGAGCATCACCTCTAAGTTCTGTGAGGCAACTAATTTTGTCAGCTCAAAAAATACTAACAACGATGTTAAGAAAAGCAAGATATGTTAAACATATGATTGCACTTAGAACTATACAGTGTTGGATACCATTGTGGTCAGTTTGGCTCCCCTTCTCCTAGCAATTAATGAAAAGCATACCCATTAGCCTGATGTGGACCTTTAACTTGATAAAACCTGAATATGTAGATAATTAAACCAAAATTGTTTTGTTGCTTGTTGGATAGCACAGTATCATTAATGTTCCAGATAGATAACAATCAACACTGAGACCATCCTTGCAATGACTTGAGTTGCTAAAGACCTTCAGTCCAGCTTTTTCCTATCAGGCTCCATAGCAAATGGCAGTCAAGGGACAGCGAAGTATTTTGCAGATATCTAAAAACTGACTTGCAACCTCAACTTTGGATATTCATCTCTCTCAGTCTGTCCTGTTGGTTCAGTTCAACTTCATATAAGTAATTCAATATTCTTTGGGAGGGAGAGAGAGACCGACTCTACGGCTGAATGGCACTTACTTAGCATGTGAGAGATTCAGGAAGAACAGTTTTAGCCAAAACATTTATGTTGTGTGTATTGCACACCACATTAATACAGTATGTATTAGACATTATATTATATATAAATGTTAGAATAAAGCTTTATATTTGAATAGTACGATGCTTACTCTTGTTCACTTATGCTTATTATCCCATAACACTTTGCACAGCTGAAGTCAGCTTTGGTACTAGCAAATATAAAATCTGTCAAAATCAAGATGTACTAGTTCTATGTCCTAGTACAGGTGCCTTCACAGGCAGCTGGTTTGGAATGTAATATCCAAAACAGAGATAAGAAAAAGTACAGAACAAAATAAGTTAAGGAACTGTAACAAATTGGTGGATTGGATTTTAGTGATGTACAATGAAGTTTGTAACTTGTAAATCCATACTATAATTATAGCTAGTTTAAATGCCTATTTCTAAAGCACACCTTCTGTGTAAAGTGAACATGCTACGAGATAAGAATTGCTTCCTAGAAGGAATGTACTAGCTCTCCTTTTCGAATTGTGCTGTTTTGTCTCTAGACAACAAATTTGACTAAGTCTGGTTTATTGGTCTCTTGCACATATTTCATAACGAACCACAAATGTAGTCCATCAATTGGCTATACCATTTAATCAACAGCAGGACTTGAATCAGATTTTCCCAAATCCCAGGCGAGTGCCCTAATTACTGGGCTACTGGTTATTCAGGAGTAGCCCTCTATCTTGTGAAAAATTTCAAAAGGTTTCTCCCCGTGAAAAAAGGAAAACTTTTTATATCTCTAAAAGTTTCATGGGCCAAGAAAACTGTTTTAATGCCAGGTCTACTACTTACTACATAAATGATTTTTTTTCTATAAGACATTTCTGAAATTTGTATCTGTTTTGAATTGTATAATTCTGTTTACTGATGCTAATATTTTCAAAGGTAGATGTCTAAAGCAAGGCTTTAATTCCATATTTAGGCACCTAAATAAGTGACCTGATGTTCAAAAGGCTCAGCACATAGCAATTTAGGCACTTATTTTGATGATCTTATCCTTAAAATTCCTGGCCATTTTTTTTAATTGCAGTGAAGATAGAGCATTTAAACAGAAGGGGGAAAATAAATTCTGCTAGGATTTAGTTCTCATTTTATACTATAGATTAGACATTCCTATAGGGAATGCTACAGTTTATTAATCTTTATGCATACACCCAGTGAGGGCAAGAAATACTGGAAAGAGTTTAAAAACATAAGTACATATGAGAGTCAAATGAGATTTGTGGTGTTTATATCATGTTGTATACTGTCTGAAGCAATCTAAGGATATAGACAATTCCTACATCCTTATTTTTCCTTTGGGATTACAGGGCTAAGACACCAAGCTTTCACAAATAAGTTTACTGACTGGAATATATACAGTTCTTATTCGTATGTAAACAAACAGGCTATGACTTGAAGCCATCAATGGCTTTAATTGTACAAACCATGTATTACTAAAATCTGTCCAAGTCATAACTGTGGTAAGCAGCCATCTCAGTCTTGAGCAATCTGTCAGTAAACTAATAAATTACATCATTGTGGAGAGAAGAAGAACTCCTTCTCTAAGGGCATCTGTTCAGCACCAGGGAATAGCTAGTAAGGTTCCAGATCGGCCAACTTTAATCAGATAAGTAAAATGTCTTTACCTAAAAATTCATGTCTAATCCTTTAAGGAAGTGGCTAAAACATACAGTTTTTCATTTCACATTCTTTTCATAGCTGTTTTAGAAGCACGCAAAACACAAGTAACTGGAATGTCCATTTAGCATCCAATCCTGCAACCTCTGCCTATGAAAATAGACATACTGGATGAAATCCTGGC